CATATGTAAATTTTTTCCTTTGACATTCTTTTTTTTAAGCTAGAAATAATTTCAGACAAAAGTCTTGTAAGATGAAGTTAGCATTTAAATTCAAGCAACTTCAGACTTTAATAAAGCCAACTGATTGGACTCTTGCCTTATTTTTCTCCTACAAAGTACAGTGTGTAACATGCTGGGGAGAATATGTCTCAAAGAATTTTGTTTCAGAGGGTTTTCGCCATTCATTTCATTGAATTAACTGAGGCAGTGCATTTGAGGGTAAAGTTATAACTGAGCAACAATTCCAATAGATGGCAAAATGGAAAAATTGTGTATGAGGCGGTCATTTTTGTACCATGTTAGACCATTTTCATGCAAGACAGTTGTTTCATAATTGAGAGAATGGAGAAAAATCATTTTCAAGTCCAGGATTCTTTCAGGTGCAAGTTGCCAATATGTCTGTGTAATGTGTTGAGAATATGAAGACATCCTGTTCAGGGTTGTTTTGATTGAATTCATCCATCTTTTGTTCAAGTTCTTCCTACAAATTCAGATTCTTTACAGTGAAAGAATGTAATGTGATGAACTCGCTCTGTTTTGACTACTTTTGTGGACAGTTCAAACTTGATTCCTTCCCTTACTGAAAGCTCATTGTGCTCTTTTTTTTTTAAGAGATTACTTGTACTACAATTATATTTGGTTGTTTTCTTTCATATAACATTGCAGCATAATATGGCCGTTTCTGGCACTTAAGAACAAATCAGCATTTCAGTATCTTTCTTACAGTAGATGTTCTCTAATGAATTGGTAATACTCTGCTAAAATAACAGTTTTGTACTCTTGAACTGAACTCTGAAAGGTCTGTACAGAGGCAAAACAAGATAACGTGGTCATTAATATCATGCTGTATTTTCATTCCCTTTGCGGAACACCTGGTTACTGGGCCTCTGATTTTTTTACTTTCTTTTCTTTTTTCTCCCTGCTCTTCTCTTTGCTCTCTGAGCACGTGTTCTGCTTTTCCAGGACTACTAAAAGACATTATACTTTATACGATGGGCAGTGTTCCACTCTTTCAGGAGTATGTCATATTCCAATGGCAGAGCCATTCTGCACTAAAACCAGAGAGGTAAGTGAATTTTGTAAAAGTTTAATGGTTTTTAATGGCATCTGTGGATTATGGTATAATTATGCAGTCTCCGAATACAGAGGCAATCTCTATCCCTTCATTCCTGTTTCTCAGAAATCTCATGGTATTAAACAAAATGTAACATTTAGAAGGCCTGGGAAATAAAAGATCGTGTGACTGTAGGAGCTGTGTTTTTAAGGTAAGTACACAGAAGGGTCTAAGAAGGCAGTTAGCAACCTAGATTTCCTAGGGACTTAATAAAAGGGCAGAAGATCTATCTTTATCAGATAACAAACCATGGGAACAGGAGCATGGACAAAATAGGCAGATGGAGTTAGGGGATAGCTCATTTTTGTTCTGAATGGAATAGCACCTCCTACAGAGGCATTCTACACTGCTTGATTGATTACACTTAAAATACAAAGAGTTAGAAGTAATACTGCAGCATTCACAGAAACGTCAGTATTGCATTTGTGCTTTTCCGTACTATAGCAGTTGAGCTTGGACAGTGAAAGCTTTGCTTAAGGGATGTTAAACAGGGAAACAAGCCAAATCACATTGATCTTTTCTTAAATACTGTTGTTGTTAGTTTTGTTGCTTCAAGATTTTCAGGCTTTGAAAACATTAAGACTAAACAGAGTGAAATACTGCTCTGCTTTTCAACACCTTTATAACCTTTTGGGAGGAGTGTATCTGTAATTAAATATGCCATCTCAGTGAATCAGTGTATCCTTACATCTGAGCGAAAGGGAAGGTGAAAATAGAATTCAGCATTTTTTGGTCTTGTGGAATGCTCTGGTCAGAAGGTGCGGGGCAGTATGTCCTCAAGGGACACAGGAATCTTTTTTAAAAAATGAGAGTCATGCCCATCCAAGAGACTTACTCTCTGTGCAAACTGTTGCAACACTGAGCAGGTGAAGACACTGAATTATGAAGCACATAACTTGCTCTGTACCCAGGGTATATTCAAATTTTAGTACTGCTGAGTCCTTTGGCTCTTATCACCAATTCAGTTCACTGTCATTATAGGCTATTAATGAGCTAGACACAACGTGGTATGTTCTGAGATGACCACCAGTAGGATCACAGCGCTGTTACAAAAGTGACACTTTAATGCACTAGGAATGTAGGCTGTTTTGTAATGAAATGGAGACATTATGAAGCTGAAAAGGAAACAGACCATTACATATTATATATCTGCATGCTCTTGCCCTTCTGTCATTGGGCAGCAAACTGTGCAAAATTCCTTGCATTTTCAAAGAAGCAAGAGCCTACCCCCACACTATTACCAAAGAATAGTTGGCATATAATAGCTTGCTGACAGTGAGCATGATGCCATGTCATAAATACAAAGAGTTTACTGGGTACTTATTGCACACTTTCTGTAATGAACTAAAGAATGTTGTTACTGAAGTGATTGGCTATTCTTCACACTGGGCATCTCTCTCTTACCTTTTTTTTTCCTTAAGTAAGCAGTCAAGTATAAGCCATTTCCTGAGATTGAAGGGAACATACAAAAGCTGGCTTTCATTGATTGTTAAGTAGCTAGAGACAAAGCTCCTTGGGAATTTGATTTTTTAAAAGAGCAACAGAGAAATGTTCATTTTAAAATAGAGAACAAACATTTAGGTACTTCCCAGCCTCACATGTGATCATTATGTCATTAGCCTGTACATTCTAATCAGCCCAACAGATGTTTCAAAGAACATGTGTTTTTGAGCTCTTGGAGGGGCTGAAACTGCTTTTCACTTCATTTGAAAATATCAGATAAAACTGATATAAAATATTTTCCCTGAACTGATCCTGAAGATTGCTGGGATCATTTTAGCCCGGATTGTCGTGATTCAAGGAAGTATCATAGATAAAGGCAATCATAATAAAGCCAAAACTATTAATGTAGTAGAATAATTGAGGAATTTGCATGACAAATATTTGACGATTGCATATTTAATAGAATATTTTCACGTTTTCACAAATGCTGTTTGGTTTATGCAGTAGAAATCAAATAAAGAATCTGAAGGAGTTCATCTTTTCTGTAGTAACAAACTGTTTTGAGTAACATAGGCTACCTTGGCTGTTACTGCTCTAAGAAAGTAGGGCTCACTGCAACTCACAGCATTTGACAGGGAGGCTGCTCCAGCAGGCCTGGATGTAGGTCATGATGCTGGCAAGGCAACTTACGGCAGTGTCAGACTAGGTTTTGGCTGCTGCCGTGCTACCAAGGTCTCTGCTGTCACACATTTTCATGCTTTCTTTTATACTTCTTTTCAAGCTGAATCCTTTTCTCAAGCATCTCTTAGCAAGCCCCTGATTAGTGCCAAGCCGGCTGATGGTCATCTTAAGCAAATTTCATCTTTGTTACTTCCTTTTTCAGCAATGTCAGTTTCGGGGCTAACAACTTCTCAGAATGGTGTCAGTGTCCTATTCGCACACACCCTTACAAGTCACAGTCTTATTGTATCGCCTGTTGTTACCCAGACCATCTACCAAGAGAAGTCGCAATGATTCCCCCATAGACAAAGTCCTGGTTCGGCTTGTACAGACTAATACCAAGTACCCGATATGCGCAAAGTATACAGCTTAGTTGCTGTCATGGGTAAATGGGGTAATAATTTTTCTCAGAGATCCCGAAATACTCTCTTAAGTATAGCTTGTAAAGTTTTGTCACTAGTAGACTTTCATAAGGTAAATTTCACACTGTTGGTCTCTCCAGCTCAATTCCACCTTTGTGGCAATGTAGTGCTTGGTGGCATTAACCTTTAGTGCTTTCACCATCCTGTTTTTTATGTAAGTAAAGCCAAAATGCACAAATTACCTATTTTTCAGTCTCTTTGGTCTGTGCTGAAAATAGTAATCCAGCTGATGCAAGAAAAATCAGATGAATTCAACGTTACCTTATTAAAAAGACTATTCATTTCTCCTGTTGGATCAGGAAACCGAAACTGATTTTCATTTTTGGACAGCTGTAGCCATATTCAGCTTAACTCATTAGTGTAAGGTTAATTTTCTTGTATGTTTGTTTTTTGGTAGGGTGCAAAAGCAATGCACCAGCCAGGGAGAATTACTTGCTTCCGAACTCTGTACCAGCAAGGGAAAATTATTTACTTTTGTTGATGTTTATGTGTTTTGTAGGTTCTTACTGAGATTGCCAAGAAGCTTGAGCTCCAGTGTCATTCCAAGGGGACAGTGATCACAATTGAAGGCCCACGTTTCAGTTCTCGTGCAGAAAGCTTGATGTTTCGCAGCTGGGGAGCTGATGTCATCAACATGACCACAGTTCCTGAGGTGATTCTTGCGAAAGAAGCTGGATTGAGTTATGCAAGTATTGCTATGGCAACAGATTATGACTGCTGGAAAGAGCATGAAGAAGCAGTGAGTGCAACTGATTTTTCTCTGGGTCTTGTTTGGAAGGATTTGGATGCGAACCTGTAGCTTTTAATGGAAATCGCATATTAAATTAAATCTGTTCTTACGTGCGCCAGTATCACTGAATTATTTGGGATTAACAATTCTGAAAGCAAGAACAAAATTAGACGTTGCTGCCTCATTCATCTTTATAAACTTCCCTCAGAATAAACAAACCTTTTAGCTCTCGTAGAAATGAGAGGGTCTGTATGTATAAAGCTGATGGACCTTCTCGTCCTGTAATTGGTCTGGTGTTTAATCTTTTGCAGCTCTATGTGAAAGGATATATCTTTTTCTAGTTCTTTTTTCTCATGGAATACATTTCCAGCAGAACACTTAGGTCAACTGCCAATTAAATTTTGGTCATGATAGGAAACAACAACCCAGTTTTGGCACTTGAGACAATGAAGACAGCTTTATAAAACAGTTGTTAATTTGCCTAAGTAACTTTGTAAAAACTCCTATCTCTCAGTTTTTATGTATATATATCAAATGTTTTCCACCTGCAACATCCCTGTACGATATTACTTAATTTACTTTTAATTACTTAGGTACGGTCTCAGCCTTACCTTTAATTTTCTACAATAATGATCTGCCTTTTTGAGCACTGATTTGCAGTAAAAACACAGGTAAATAGTAGAGGTGACATGGATTCCTCTAGGAGCTGTTCAATCCATACATTATTTTGATATTGTGGAAATGTATTTTATCAGATACAGCATGGCTCTGATATTTTTATTATTCTTCAGCTGAATTTTTGAATATCCAATATAAAAAAGGTTATCCTGTAAATATTTTTTAGTATAAAAGAGAACAATGTGATCGAGAAGTGTCTGGTTAAAACTGATACACACACATCTGTGCTGTCATTGCACTAAAGGCCCCCAGGTGGCATTTTATGTAAAGCTATCTATGTCTCATTAAGAATAGCACTAGGAATTTCTTTGCAATTAAAATTCCACACGAATTTGATCAGGCTATCCAAGACTAATTCTTTTTTCCGTTTAGTCAGCTCTTACTTTTTCTTTTTTTCATTTTCAGAGTATCCATTTGGGTTTTTTGTTTGTTGTTATTATTATGAGTAAATATGGCTAAAAGGCGTTATAGGTCTTCACCAGTGACTTCTAATGTGTTCAGGTGAAAAGTTCCACTGAGATTTTTTTGAGTATGAAGTTTACAAAATCGGACCCAAGCAATGAAGTATAACCAAATATACATCCACAAAGGAAAAAAGTTTTTACTAGCAAAAAAGATGGTGACTCTTTAAGCTACCTACAGATTTTTTTTATCCGTGCTTATGAGATGAGTTAGATGAGTTTTGTTTGGGATTTAAAGTGTATGCCACCAAACAGCACAGTTTTCTTGTGTTTTTAGGTTTCAGTGGATAAGGTTTTAAAGACACTGAAAGAGAATGCAAATAAGGCTACCAGCATACTCCTTACTGCTATACCTCAGATAGCTTCCATGGAGTGGACAGACACCTTGCACATCCTGAAAGTAAGTACATATATGAGTGTGATTAATATTGGGGAAGGCGTGTATATGCACATAATATAGGCATATGTTCCAAGATGTAACTTTTTACAGTATATGTTTTAACAAACCCACTGTATTCAAGATGGAAAAATAAACTCATTAATAGTCTTACAAGCTTCATTGCACAGATCAAGCCTCGATCTTCCCCCCCCCAAAAAAATTTTAAGCTAGAAAGATTAAAGACATCTGTATTATCTGTATTATTTAATATTATTATTATTAAATCTACATGAGGCTGCAAGTGAATAACCTGTTCCTCTGTTCAGCCCTAGCCTAGATCTTGAAACAGTGGAGAGCCAAATGGAGTAGACTGGAGCACAAAAACTGTGCTCTCTTGAATATGTGGCAGGTGAAGAGCTGTTTGCAAGATACAGGTGTTATCCAGTTTGGATTTATAAGATTTGTGTTCTCACACTCACTTTCAGACCTGAAGTACATAAAAAAAAAAAAAGGAATAGAAAAAAAAAACTATTTCAAAGTATCTTGATGAGGGAATATTTTAGATAGGATTTTTCAAAGACAAAATTTGCTTATGTGTTTTACATCACCTCAATTTCACGAGAGTGCTTGAGATTCCATGTTAGCAATAATGTAGAGGAAAAAAGCAGTGTTAAAATAGGTTGAATCTCTGTCCAACTTCTTTCTAAGCTACGAATAGCCACTTCCAAAAGGACAAGAACAGGCAGGGTGAGAGGACTAAGGATGACACTGGGTCAGTTTGGCAAACAGGAAAAGAGAACTGGAATGTGAGGGACAGAAAACAGGCAGAAATGGTCCACAAAGAGCTATGTTAGTAAAAGCAGCGATCTGAGAAGGGGAAGCCGTTTGAGGAGACAAAGAAGTATCTCTGACTCTGTGCACTCTCAGGTTCCTTCTTTGTCTTTTATAAAGGAAAAGAAGCTGAAAAACACTGTCTTCCTGAAGCTTGAGTGCATAAGAAAGATTAAAAAAAACAGACATAAGTCATATCAGATATCTGAAAGTGTGATCTTGGATTTCAAATTCAAAGAGCTGCTTATGTGGTAAAAATTATCTATGTCATTGTATTGAGATCAGGTTTTCAATTTTTTTTCCAATCTGCTTCTCTTGTCAGTGACTCCTGTCTCCTCCAGTTTGGTCAATAGCCTGGTACAGCTAAATCCAGGAAATATGACAGAAAGTTCACCACAGATCCTTTTTGGGCATCCTTAGGCTTGAACAGGTCGTGTTCATGGGGTTCCTTCCCAAATCCTTCCTCTGATTCTCTTTAGGAAGGGCTGGAAAAGCTAGAATTATTTTTTGATGAGGCGTTAAATAATGATAAAACAGATGGTGGATTGAGCTGGGCCTTTGTGTTTGTGAATAAAGGAGGAGATAATTATGCAATACGGCAAAAACGAAGATATGTACGTGCTTCTTTACACGTTTGTAGTTGAACTGTAGAGAATCAGAAATTTTCTTCTCTCTGTAGATGTAAAGAGTGCTTCTGTATGTTTGGCTCTGGCCTTTTTAAAGGACAGCTGATTGGGTTTTTTCAACCAGCCTTTTTCAAAGGCACCTTTTCCTAGTGTTCTCCTCTGGGAGAGCTGTGCGGTAGTGTGGGCAGGAACACAGACAAGGAGGGGCAAGATTGCAGCTGGTACACTGGGAGCAGTGACAAAGTAAAATCATGCCTAACTATGCACAAGCTACAGCTCGGCAGCTCAAATGGCATCTGTCAGTGTCTATTTTCAGTGTTTGGGGAAGCATGTGAAACTCTAAAGCTCTGCAAGGTCAGAACCTTTCATCTTCGACCTCCTTAATCTGGCTACTATGACTGGAGGAACTTGACCAGGCAGGAGTAAGAAGGTGCTGCCAGGCCTTTTTCACAGCGGTGTTTGCCTGTCTTCTTCCTCAAAGTTGTGCACTCTGTTGACGTGCACATGGTGTCATCTCTGAAATTCACAACAGTCCTAGAAAGCTCCAGGGTGTTGAAGCAAAAGTGGCCAGGGATATTTTTCTATTTAGGCTGTCTGCTATCCAGTTTTTCTCATGTGTCCTTTCATCTGTGATGTGCCAGTTAGTTTGTAAGTCTAGTCTGAATGTTACTTTTTTTAACTGCCAGGGTGTCTTTAGGTCAATGTCGCCTGGCATTGCATAACCTCCAGACTCAGGTTGCATGAACTTTAACATAAAGATTTATAACAATCCTCTGTGAAGGTAGAGCATCTTCCCACAGCCTGTCTTTTTGATGTGTGGCCAGACTGCAGTGTGTTTCAGAACAGGGTATGAGAAAGTTGTACTTGTGTCACTGATCAGGAAACACAGATGGTGATCTACAGATCACAGGCAATCCAAGTAATTCATGGGTGGTATCAGGGAAAGTTCTTGATAGGATGGGCCAACCATGGGTGATGCATGGCTGGACCTACTGTTCCCTGACAGGGAGGAATTGTTTAGGGAGTTTGTAATCACTGTCAATGTTGACTGTAGTGGTCATGAAATAGTGGCATTCAGGATCCTACAGGGAGTGAGGAAGTCAAATAGCAGAGTACAGATCCTGGACTTCAGGTGAGCAGACTTGGGTTTAACCAGGGAACTAGTAGATAGCGTTTCTTGGGAGGCAGCTCTGAAGGGCAAAAGAGCTAAGGAATTCTGACAAGTTTTTGAAGGGAGCATCCTCCAAGCACAAGAATGAGCCATCTCGGGAAAGCGAGTAGATATATCAGGGGATTGGCTTTGCTATACAGGTAATAGAGCTCCAGTGCAAAGATTCAACATACAGGAGGTGGAAGCAAGGACAAGCTACAAAGGAGGAATTCAGAAGCAAGCCTAGACCTGCAGGAATGGTGTCAGGAAAACCAAAGTTCACCTATACTTGACACTTGCAAAGAGCACCATGGGCAACAGGAACAACTTCAGCCGCTACATAGTTATCGAAGCCCGATCAAGGAAAATGTGGACCCATTGCTGAATGGGGTTGATGAATTAATGACAGCAGGGACTTTCAAGAGGGAACTGTAGGCTCTCTTTTTGTCCATTTTTAGGAAAAGCATTGCTGAGAGAGAAAAGCTGTTTTTTTGAAAAAGATTTTAACTCATGAACTAGCAACAGCTGTGAACTGGGCTCTGTACATTTATTGCAGTGAGGTTCAGAAGAGAGCCTGTATTGGGATGGTAAAGGAATTTCATGTTCGTACTAGTTTTCCTTACAGTGTTGGTGTAAGAAAATCAGCCTGTGGTAAGGTGTCACAGCTGCCATGAATGCTGCTCAGATAGACTTCTTGCCTTTGAACTGTCCTGCTGACACTGCCAGTCTTTTGTAAACTTACGTACTAGCCTATGGGAAGCGCTACTTGTCAGAGCCCTAGTACAAGGAATAGTGTACTCTGAGGAGAGAGCTGTATGAGGTGAATACTGTGGATTGTTTTAGACTGGGTAAGATATGCTTAGATATGTTTTAGCACTGTTCGTCCTGTGCATACTTGAAATTGAATATGTTTGGTAGCTAACAAATTGAAAGTTCACTTTTTCCAGTCTAACTAACTTTCTAGTGTCAGGTTAGCATTTTCCAATCTAACTTCAGGCGATAACTACATTCATAACATTCATAATTTATGCATGTAGAGCTCTGGTCTTATATTCTTGAGTAAGTTTCTTCCCTGAGATAATCTCAATGAAATCAGTGAACCTGCTTGTGACTAGAGTCAGTTGGATCAGGTGAATAAGGCAGAGGGAGGAAATTCAACAGATTCACTTCAGCTGAATTCACTGATTCACTTCAGTCCTGTAATTGGACTGGACTATATACCATGGGCCTTGCAGGCTAAGGGCCTCTCAAGAAAGCTGAGATTGAAAATTTCTCAGGTCTCACCCTTTAACGTGGCTGACTTTAATGTTGCGTATCGCTGCATGCCCTGACCGTTTCATTCACTCTCAACCAATGCACTTTAAAGGTTTCTGTTCCTTGACAGCTGTACTTTAAAATGAGGGAAGGAACATGCAAAAATCACCTTTTTAAGCAACTTCATTTTCGAAGATTTCTGATTGTGTTTTATTTTATGGCTTTCTACAGATCCAATGCATGTAAGACAATATGTTAGCCTTAAAAGTGAAAAGCCAGCTGCACAGTTTCTCATTTGTAGCCTGTAAGTCTAAAAATCTTAATTTCAGTCTAGTGTGTCTATAATGTGATTGTTGGTTCTCAGTAAGCTGGTACACAGATGAAAAAAAATATATAATAAGTCATTGTACTATTGTAGCATAGGTGCTTCCTGTTGTTCTTTTGACTTTTATGATGCTGGGAGGAGTTGGAGATACTATTCCTGTGTAGTGAGTTACACCAGTTTTTAGTCTGTATGGAGGCGACCTAGTCTGCCCTAACATCAAACAGATTCTGTGGGAGCATTTATCTACTTTGACTCTGTATTTCAGACAACTGTGCAATGTTCAGTCATGCTGCCAAAGCACTAACAGCCTGGATGGACTCTGAAGTTTGGGTACTAAGAAAGAAGAGCGACCATTTTTGAACTTCTAGAGGTTATAATATCTTCAAAAAATGTTATAAGCATGGAAGAATGCTTTATGTACCTGATAATGATAATAATTATGATAAACTGTGATTGATAATAGTGTAAAATTTTTTTGTAAGACAGTCTGTCATGCTTGATAATGAGTAAGATGTATTCAAAATATAACTTGAGCTATCCTTTGAACTTGGAGTGTACTCCAGTGCTGAATAACTGAATCAGACAGTGATCTACAACAAGTTATAATCTTGTTGCTGGATGGTTCATAAAGCTATCATCTGATATCAAGGATATCATTTAACTGATGGATGAAAAGAAAGGCTAGGTAATGCTCTGTTACAGTTTTGTAAAGTAAGAAGAAAGGAAATTCACAGATATTTAGCTGCTTTGCTATTTCTGCTTCTCTTTTCCTTCCAGAAGGAAGGTGGCTACCATTTACTTCAGAACATACTGTAAAAAGGAATAGATAATTTAGAAATAAAATTGTATTTTTGAATTTTTGAAGTTTTATACATTATCTGTATTTTTTATTTCAATTATTTTTTCATTTTAGTAGTGTTTTTTGGTTTTGTGCAGACAAAATTTTGTTTAACAATTGCAGCCATTCTTTCACAGCAGTTGCATAATGGATGAATATTCTCATTAAAAATTTTTAGCTGGTAATTAAGTCAAATTTGTGCCTGAAGGCCTATATATGTAACTAAAGATAGTGCCAGTCCTGAACAGTGGGCTGGCCTTCTTTTGTTAAATTGATCTGAACCATTCTGGTTTTAGTTTCTATTTTTAGTGATGAATGTACATAATCACTTTGATTGTATGCATTTCATTTGTTAATATCATTTGTCTTCAATAAAATAACCTGCTGCTTCTTGTCTTAAAAATAAAACAAACGAAACCTTTGCTTCTCCGAATTGTGTGGGAATGGATTTTTTATTTACTCCTGGTCATTATTCAGTGAGTGAATTGTGTGTGTCTGGCAAGTACTTTTACCATTCTTGGAACAGGTTGGTGTGATAGTTCATGAACATCATTTTAGAAAGGCTGAAGGCTTCAAAATATGGTACTGCTTAAAACTTAAGGTCATCATTCATAGTTCACTGAAACAACAGGGACTGCTGAAACAAAAAGGGATCGAAACGCAAGCCAAGCCTGGCAAGGAAAAGATCAGAAACGTGAAAGGTACAAATTCTCAAAGAAATGTAAAAAAAGGAATGAACTATAGAAGAAAAAAGCAGGTAGATCAACCTTTTGTCTTGCTAGCCTTCCCTGTCAGTGACCCAGTCTTTCACTGTGAAAGGCTCTGGGCTTGGACCCCTAGGAGAACACTGAGGCTGCCTTGGAGATACTGGGGAAAATAGTTTAGCCAGTCTTCCATATTTCCTGGTCTTTTTAAAACAAATTTGGATTGTAGGAGCCAAATCTTGAAGCTTGGGAGGCGGAGGTTGAAGGTTTAACATGCCTTCTGCTGTCTTTAATATCTAGTCAAACCAGAGGGCTGGCCTTAAAAGTGCTCTTGGTTGGTGGGTTATTTTTGTCTCCTACACCATTTTATGGAAATAGGATTGCAGATACGAAGTTCATAGTCAAGTGTTCTCAGAAGAAGCTGTTCCTGGCCTTGCATTTTCAGTCTCTGTTGACTTTTTTACATTCCGTAGTGACATAACACACTGATTTGTCAATTACCTTCTTTATTTATTTATTTTTGGTATGTAGAGTACTTCCAGTAGCACAGGACAATACAGCACAGAGCAAGTCTGTAGTTACGGTTACCTTCCTGTTTAAATTCCTTACTTTCCTGTACTGCAGGGGTAGGTGATACCTATTTGCTCTGAAGACATAGGCTTGATATCCGATGTACCGAGGTGTCTCATCTAATAGGGGTCTTGTGGAGTTAAGATGGAGAAGTCAGTAACAGAGTGCTAGCATGTGGTATATTTCTACAAAGTTTAGCATACATTTTATACTCCTTGAAATGTATGGGGACTTATTTGTCCAGGAGACTATAGGATGAAGATGGTAGCTGACAAGAGAAACATAGATTGATTGTGTTTAATTACATAACAATAGGCCAGATCATTGATTTTAATCATCTTTCTAAGCAGTCCTAAGAAAGGCATTACATTTATTGTGGGAAATACGGCCTATATGATAGGGAATAGAAGGACACAAATTTAATGTACTACTAAAATCAGGTAAGCAGCCAGAGAAGAACTGTGGCAGTTGGTAGACTCAGAACGTCTCTGGTTTGACAAGAATGAGATAGTGACACGCAGATGACTGTGCATGGAAATGACCTCTCTTCCATTTTGACTGTCTCACCATGCTGTTTCTGTCTTCCACAACCGTTATTCAGTCCGTCTACTGTGACGGATTTTGAATACCTTCTTCTGGTGGATAGTATTTATATCATATCACCAAAATCAAGAGCATTATCAAATCCTGACTGGAGGCATGTTGGCCTGATAAACGGCCTACCGGGACACAGAGTGCTAAATTTTTGCTGTTGCCTAGTTTTCAAACATGAACTCCAAAATTAATGCATACTAAGGTTGACTGCTGTCATTACTCCCCTTACAGAAATTGTATGCCTTCCTTATCTTAAAAATAAACCAATGTGCACTTAACGGCTATGGTTTCACACTCACATCTTTTATGCCAGATACTTTATGTTTTGAAAAATAAAAAGCTTTCAGCAGAACCTTTCGGGACCTGATCAATTTCTATTTGTGTATTTCCCTAAGCATTACATTTTAAAGCCTCATCTAAACAGTAAATACTTCAACACTGCTACCAAAAAATTTTGAGAACTGAAGCAGTCGAAGCAGTGTCGGTGTGAGTGAATTGCATGTCTCATGGGAGATGGTTTAGAATTGTGAAAAGCCTAGTGAAATGTTAGCTGATGGAGCTTAACCTTGTGTTTTTCAATCCTGTTTCTCGTTCTCCAGGGGAATTGTCCTAAACTAACTTGTTGATCCGTGTAGCCTGAATACTTTCAAGGCATTGAGGTAAAGGAGATCACTCATAGAGCAAGCAGGAGCTGCTACGGAACAGTTCGGCTTCATCGTGCTTCTATGCAGAATGGAGCTGGGGGAAAAGAGGAATGCAGCTGGGAAGCAGTGTGTGTATTAAAAGTTAGTAATGAAAATCTTATTCTCTTTGCCGTATATATGGCATGGAGACTGAAAGGAAGTGAAGGACTGTGTATGGAGCACAGTTGCATAAAGCAAAAGATATGGCAGTATTAGCTAAGGACTGAGAAATATAAAAATGGGATCCAAGTGATTCCTTGTAAAACTCTCCATTGGGCACCAAAGGGAATACTATGGATTGCAGCCAAATGGACTGTCCAGATCTACATAGACCAGAGGCAGAAGTGTCACTGCAGTGTAATTCAACATGCAAATAAAAAATATGAGAGGAAGAAGCACATCCACTCAGAGGAGCTCCTATTGGATTGTTCTTCCAATGGCACTCTTTTAGACTTCTGCTTAGTCTTCGCACATGCATCACAGGGAACGGATATCCTTCCGCTTTAACTGCTAGATCTGGACTCAGTAACATTCAGTCTTGGATATTCGTTGTCTAGGTTCCAAGCTGACACCCCACACTTGGTTGTATCTTGAATGTTTGCTCTAAATATGGAGATGCTGTTGTGTCTTACCCTGTTTCTCATCGATTGTTTAGGTGCTATCCTTGGGTTTTCTTTGGAGGAGCTGTCTGCGCGTTTAGTTTGCACTGAGCATCTCTCCAGTGTGTGCTTACAGTGTGATGCATTGATGCCAATATTGCAAGTGCAAATGCAGCACAAGCCAAACCATGAGGCAGGCCATTAGATCTGCCCTTTTCTACCTTTTCTGTCTCCTCTAAATCATTTTCCTGTGCTGCTTAAAACTGATCTGCCCTGCTAATACAAGTTTGCCGACTCATACCTCATTTTCACTTAACTAACACCTACCGCTTTCTGACATTCACGCTAACAACACTGAAGCATGTCTCAGCATGAGCAGAGGTGGCACGTGATATCAGTAGAACTATCTTTAGTATTCATATTAGTATTCAAAACAGATCTGAAAGCAGTTGGGGTTCTCAGAATTCTAACTGGTGCAAGAGCATATTCTGTTTATTGAAACCAGCTGAGTGCCTGTCAGTAAGAGGAAAAGTTCATTCAGGAGGTGCCTCAAGCACTTGGCAGGATCAGCCCTCTAAGACAGAAACTCTGGCTTAACTGTTTTAACAATTGCTTCCTCAACCCGCTGTCATTGCAGTACTGACTGAAGCAGGAGGGTGCAAGAGAACTGAAATTAACATTTAATAATTAATTTATGAAAATACACAATTGTTTATTTAAGATAATTAAGAAGTTCTTCAGCATCTTTAGTCTGCACTGACTCTCAATAACTTGTATTGTAAAACCATATGAGATTAGGCATACTGGGAAATACATTTTCCATTTGAACATCTGCATGTCATGGCTGCAGCCCAGCTGCGTGAATTCAGAAGGCTGACTCAATCATGTGAAATCTGCCTTAAGAGATCAAGGGCTATTCTGGACTGCAGAGGAAGCAAGGCAGTTCTTAGCTGAACTTTAAGCAAGCCTGGGTTCACTAATGCTTCTACATTAAGATGAGGAAAGTGCAGAACAATTACAGAACTATAGTTCTTACAGAATGTAATGTAATGAAACTACTGTAAGAACTATAGGTCTTACAGAACTATAGTTCTTACAGTAGTTTCATTACATTAATCCATTAATGTCCCCAATCCTGCAAAGACCACCTTTTGGAGAAAGCAGGCAGTACTCTGCTATTCCCGCCGAGGTTGCTGAGGATTATATTAATTCACTGTTACAGCCTAAGTCCTTCTGCAGGACCACACAGTACCTAGCAGCCATTCCAGAGGTGGGACAGACGGCCTTCCACCACGTTAGCAAGTCAAAGCAGGTCATGAAAGGGAATTAGCACAGTGGGGCTGCACTACCAAAACTGCAGGAAGCAAGAACCTTTCCCTGCTCAGCAGCTGTGAAAAATTAAGTCTGCCAGCTGCCCCTAGAACTGCACTCTAAAGAAAGCAAATCAGTTTTCAGTAGTCTTGAATTAATTGTGGAAATGACCCCATTTCTATGGGAAAATGTTAAGGGATTCTAAAACTAAAAAATCGTAAAAAATCAAACTTTGGATTATCTGTTTTCTGCCAATCCTTGTAAGCGAACAATAAGGCCATTGTTCAACTGCTAATTCCTAACATAGGGCTGACCATTCTGGAATTCAATCTGTAATAGATTGTATGAAATAGAACAACATTAAGGTAATGCTTTCACTGGAAGAAGGTGAAAATAAGGCATGTAAGTAAGAAATTGCACACCTAAGTCCATAATTTCTATTACCTTTAGTTTTTGTAGTCTCATTCCCATGAAGACAAAATACAAGGACTAACATTACTGCTCTTCTGACTATCATCGAATATATAAGCTGTTTTCAGAAACTTTAGGCAGGGATGAATGACTCTGTAAGTAGAAGGGCAGTGCAAGATAAATGCCTTACAGTCTCAGTAATAATACTAGAAAACCTAGAATCTTTTAAATTTGAAGACACTGCCTTTTTGATGAACGTCATCTATTTTATCCATGACTACACAGACTAAGATTTTCTGGAAAGTATTTTCAATTGACATTAAATGAGAAAATAGCTGCTGCAAGTAACTTTTGTGACTCAATTGATTGCACTAGTGTAGTTCCAGTATCTTCTCGATGGACGCATAGGTCTCTCAGTACTTCCAAATGTAATGTTCCTCATAGAATCAGATTTCCTGTACAAAGTATTTAGCAGTACTTACTTGACATTTGGTGAAACAGTTTGTATTGCTGCCAGCAAACAGAATTGCATGAACGTTTTACTGAAAATAACCA